AGCGGGGAATTTTGTCGGAAAACAATGAACGGACTAAGTGAGAGCTGGAGGTCCTAGGAGGGGTTGATGATAGCGGGGAAGAGAGCGAGTAGATTTGAGACGGTCGATTGCTTGGCCGGTCTCTGATTAGCACCATTCTTTCCCTCCGTCCCTCTCTCTCCTCCGCCTCCTCTATCACTTTTCTCTCTCTCCTCCTCTCCCGACTAATCAAGTCTCGCCGGCTTGACTCCCCGCGCTGGAACAGGCTGCCCGCCGCTGTACTCCTGATTAGTATCGGATTTCAGCCGGAGAGGCGGGGGCGTGGCGTGGCGTGGCGCGGCGGGTAGCACTCCCGGTAATGGCAAGCAGATCGCGCGCTTCGGAAAGTACCAAGAATTTCGATACTTTACGGTTCGCTTTTGCAGAGTAGCGGGCTAAGTTGTCTGCAACAAGGCTTTATTCCGACATGCTGATCACAAGGGTAAGGAAATAAGCAAGGGGGTGAAGTGAAAACTGATGGAAGAGCGGCTTTTATTTGGAAATTGAAATTATAATGATTGTTTGATCAATTAGTTGTTTTCTGACCGTTGTTGCACAGTGCTGTTACTTTTAAAAACTTTCCATCATTTAGTTGTTTTATAACTTTTGCGTAGGCAGCTTGATATTAATGCATCACAGCTGCCCACGCCCCAACTACTCGCAGATAACCACAAGGACTACAGCAGCGCCCCCACCCACAGCTGCCCCCACAAAACTCACCAAAAAGATCCGCGCGTCCAAAACAGCCGGCACCGCGCTCTCGGCTCTCGGCGAAACTAAAACGAAAACAAACACCCGTGTTAATTACAAGTTACGCTGTGCATCTTGCTTTATTTACCCACCTGATATTGCTCTGCTCTCCTTGCGGTCTGGCGCAGAGTGGCCGGCCGCGGTGCTGAGTCCCGCGTCCTCGTTTCGGCGCGCACGACAAAAATGCATTGTATTTTGATGGCGCGGCCTCCCTGCTCCTCAACCCGTTTAGTGTTCATCGCAATTACAGCGTGTCGCGCCTCCGCCTACCAGAGGCCCGCTGCTCTGTAATTTACTTGCAAATAATTTTAATTAGGAAATAAAAATAAAGTCGCGGTGCGGTGCGGTCCCATTCACCGCACCCTCCCGTGCGCTCTCTGTCTCTCTCCCTTTCGCCCTCACGTACACAGAGACCACGGCATTCCCCCACCCACAGCAACTCTTCTTTTCTAATTTTCCGCAATAATTATTACGCTCGGCCCTGGAGGCGGAAATTAACATCCAGTTTGTGTGTCGCGCATCTTCTTTAATAAAAAACGCGGGAAAAAAATAACTTGAGGGGGTGAACTCTTCTTGCCCCGACATAAATTCAATAAATTTTAAGGAAGATATAAGATTTTTACCGAAATATTCCGAAGCACCTTTAGTTTAAAGCAGAGACTGTGGGCCTAAATACGCCCATAGTCAGGACGCACTCCAAACTGTAACTATCTTACAGGTGACTGAACATTTAATCGTGCCTGCCTTTGGGATCTTTAATGTCAGCGACAATCCAAAAGTCTCCAGAAATGTTTCGGCCCATACTGACAGTTGCCCGACGCGCGTGTGCCGCACGCCTCCAGCGCGGTCTGTGCCCCCCATGCAAGCAAGAAGTTTGGTTGTTGCGATAAAACATGATCAACCATTTGGTATAAAAACAAAAAAACCATCTAGGCAGCAGCACACCAGTTAGAGTGCAACTTTCGACACTTGGTTTGCCTTTTCCTGCACTGTTTCCGAGGGGGCAAATAACTCCCCTTTGATGTGTACACATGATTCCCAAAATACTTGATTTTTTTTTTTGGTCTTCTAGCATTAGAAAACGCTTATTTCGACTAATTTGTACCAGTTCCA